TGGCTTGTGTAAATGACCAGGATCAGAGTGGAGCCAAGTTGGGAGATTCCTATCTCACATTCCTAGTCATTTTGCCACCCATCCTCTCTAAGGCAACAAACACACCCTGTTAATAGTATTTGCCATCCAAGCACAACTGCCTGCCCAATCCCTTACTCAGGTTGCCAATTGTATTTGCCCTGAGAAATAGCTTCATTGGCAGTTCTAGATGTTTCTGGAATTCTGATTTATTCATTGAGCTGTTCTAAGAGAAGTAAAACAAAGAGCTAACAACTCTGCCCTAAAGATCAAATGCATGATGGAAATTGCACACAGCACCCACCCTTCCCTGGCAACTGAAGGAGTCAATAAGCAGCTGAAACAACAATCTGACCCCCCAAAAAGTTACAATCGTGTCTAATCAAATATCTGTTCTCTGTTAAAATTCTTGGATCTTGTTTTGTTTGCACAACATAGTTGGGCAACTTGTGGTTTTAAAATATGCTAGTGGGATCAAAACACCCACCCAGCCTTATCCAACACCATAACTGGTAGAGATAATGGGATTTGGAATCCATGAAACTCGACTGCAACAAACTCCTCATCATGTTCCAAAATATTTCAACGACTCTAGCCAAACTGAGAGAAGGCCAACATTTTAAAACTGTCAACAAGTAAGCCTTTAGACTTCATAAATGTTTGTGTGTGAATGAAAAGGGCTATATCTATAAAATCTATCTATAAAGATATACAGATAAATGATATATGAAATCTTTATGGCATCTTTTTTCCATGATCATATTTTCTTTCTTTGTGAGAGTGTCTCAAAATACACGACTGTTTCAAAATATGATGCCTAATCCCCACAGAACAGGAAATGTTGGATGTTGTTCAGAATTCAGTTGATTTAGATTCCCTGCTGTTAAAAAGCCAAGGGAGAAAATTAAGAGGCTTACTCCATTATCAATTTTGTATTTCTTTAAAAAGCTGTGTGCTAGTATAACTTCCCAAAAACCTATTTAAATCTTAATAGGTTTCTGAAATAATAGAGGCTTTGGTTGCAAAGGAAGGTGGAGCTTTCAGTGCACACAAGTTAGCACTGTTTATATGTATATTTGACAGATGAAGAATGTGAAGGTCCAAATTAATCACAACAAAACAAGGAGGTGCTGAATCGGAATCAAGATCTTGCTTCTCTCATCAACTGCCCAGGTCTCTCTAGGAGACCCAACCCATTACATGACAAGCCTTGATCTTAACAATCAGGAGGCATTTTATGGTAGAAGAAGAAACAAAGAAGGCACACAGGCACAGCCCAAGTGAACTCGCTTCAAGGTTAAATATTTCCTCCCACTTGCCACAGACAAGAAGGAAAAATTACTGCCTATAGCATATCCAGCTACAATTAATGTGCTTGCTACCCTAAAATCATTCCTCAGCAGAGCAAAAGAGGTCAAATATGGTTCAGTCAATCCAGATTTTTTTTCTTGCAGAAGGCCCCAGAACAAAGTACTGTGGCTTGATAGATTTTCTTTCTCTGTTCCTCCCTCGGCTAAAAAGAAAATGCTGTTACTAGCAAACAATTTATACAAGCAGATAGTTTACCATCCTCTCCATCCACATCTCAGAAAGACTATTAATTTTAGGAAGTCAACAACAAACTCAAAAGATTAGAAATACACCCAGAGATTGTTTGTTGTTCTATTCTTTCAACCATAAAATAATGTGTTTGATTCACTTGAAACAGATAAGATGCTACCCATCTCTGTTTTCATTGAAGTAAAAAATTACTCCAATTAAGCTTTAATGGAAGAGATGCAGATTCATTTATCCACTTGGGCACGACTAACCTTTGACTGAGCCATGAACCCATGGGATCCCTGTCTATGAAGATACATTTCTACTGTACTATTTCAACTCAGCTTATCCTCCTTTTAGCCACAGCAAGTGTTATAAAACAATGGTAACCCTCCCAAAGAATTTATAGTTTACCAAGAGACAACAAATAAGATACAAGTAACTCAAAAATCATCAAATTTGTACCATTTAGTAAAGAGTTAAGTAGTATATATTTCATGGGGTACAGGTGCTGCTGGGTTTATTACCAATCTTCTAAAGCTTTGAATTTGTGCACCTCTGGACCTATGGGAAATGCTTTTAATAAAAGGGAAAAAATACATTTTAAAACTGCATACTGTATCTCTTTCTTATATAAAGTGTATATAAACTGCTTCGTTAAAATGTAGCAAAATGTAACCTAGAGACAGCCAACCCTCTGTGACCCTGTTTAAATAATCTCCTGGGAATTGAGAAGGTTGGGCAAATCTCTCTGGCCATTACCCAAATCAGGTAATCATCAGATTCATTGTGTGTATGCAAAGATAGGTGATCTCCTTTGATTGCCAGATAAGCTCAAGGTGATTGTACCATTAACCTGAGGCTGAGAGTCTGCTGCTCCCCTGCAGAAACAGGGGTTTAGAGTATGTGCATTCCTTAACTCTTTTTACTGACAGCCAAGTCTTTGATTACCTAAGATCTGCACATTTGCCTCTTGAGTCTTGCACCTTTGTTTTCTGATCTCCATATCTTTGTTTGGCATGGAACTGGGCTCTTGGGCTCATCCAAAGCTCATCTTTACCACTGTCTTCTTGTGGGTAAGATTTCCCATTCTGCTTTTCCATTGAAACATTAAGCTTTTAAATTGATGTTGTAGTCACATTTTCCAGCAGTAGTTATTAGAAATATGCACATGTTTAGAACTAGGTCAACTTTTACCGTTATTTTACTAGCAGAGAGAATCTGTTTAAACATGACTCTAATGCTCTTAGCCTCAGCAAACCAGGGCAGAGACATTTGGAAATTAAACAATATAAAGAGGAAAAAATAGCTACTCAGTAGAAATATCTCCTGTGCCAATTTATAAAAAGATGATTCCTCAAAGCATAACATTAGTAAGGGATTAATGCTTTATTTGGAAATGTACACTTTGGAGAAGTCCAGAGTTTCAATTCAGTTGTGATTCACTTGCATTTTTTATCATTCCTACTGGAAGGATTATTTTAAAGCAACAGAAGGATAAATGCACTAAAACGTGAACCAAATACTTCCTGACAAATCAGCTACACATTTCACTGATTTCTTTTTTTATATAGGGAGCAGGGACAGGGAATAAACAAGCGAGATATGTTGCATGTTTAGAACACAAACACAGAAGGAATGGCCTTTAAAAATGTTATCTTAGAGTGAAAAGATCAAAAATGTATGAGGGATTCTGTACAAACAGCTTGTTAACATGCCGTAACTCGTTTCATCCTTAATTCTCAGGATAATATAGCTATCATTTACATCATAACCAAGTAAAAATCAGTGTGGAATGCTTAAATATAACATTTTCAAAACATTTATGCTGGTCACCCAAGAACTGGTCATGTTTACGGAAAATGTCCTTGGGGTTTGATTCTGCCAGCTTGTCTTTGCTTGAAGCTGTCCTATTCAGATATTAGACCAGGAATGGGCAAACTTTGGTCCTCCAGGTGTTTTGGACTCCAGTAGGCTGTTAGGAATTGTGGGAGTTGAAGTCCAAAACACCTGGAGAGCCAAAGTTTGCCCATGCCTGTGTCAGACTATCACTGTTCTAGTTCTATGGTCTATGTTGTAATCTGTCACACATGTAGAAGGCAGCAATGTATTCCTTATCTGGAATTCTAAAATACTTCAAAATCCACATGGGACAGGGAGGGATGCTGTTGTTTTCTGATGATTCAGTGTGCAAAAACTTTGTTCCATGCACAAAATTATTTAAAATATTATATAAAAGTTTATTCAGGTTATGCATATGGAATGTACTTGAATTCAATGGTTAAATTTCAGTCCCATCTCCAAGGTATGTACATATGCAAATACAGGTATTTCAAAATCCAAAAAAAGGAAAGAATCAAACTACTTCTGGTCCCAACTTGTATCAGCATTAGCCAATGCTTAGAGTAGAAATAAGTTTCAGTCCAACAAATTACATGCAAAATATGAGTAGATCAATAGGTACCACCTTGGTGGGAAGGCAAACAGGCGATCCATGCAATCATGCCGTCCACACAACCAGGGGGTATCTACAGACAATGCAGGCTCCTCGGCTTGGAAATGGAGATGAGGAAATGTAGATGAGCACCACCTCCAGAGCTGGAGATGAAAAAAGGGGAAGCCTTTGCCTTTGCCTGTTTATTTCTGTTTCATTGTATCAAGGCACTGAATGTTTGCCTGTGTCTGTGTATATATCCTGTAATCCACTCGGAGTCCCCTCAGGGAGATAGGGTGGAATATAAATAATGTGTTGTTGTTGTTGCTATCGTTAATATATCTGCAAGGCATAACCAGAAGATACCTTCAAACTGAAGACTCTCCTCTAATAACCCTTGAAATAAAAGGCTGTCCTCACTAAAGACACATGGCTACAGTGAAGACAAACCATTTCTTTAAGTATATATCCACTTGAATAACAATTTGCCATTAAAATTGACAAATCAGAACCCAGTTTCTCCTGCTAACAAACAATGACTCATGTTTGCCTCAAAGCGAGTGAGAGGTTGGGAGAAATCAAGGGACAGATGTCAGAGAAACCCTACTTACTCATCTTTGGCAAGTGTCTAACTCTTCAAGACACACACTGGTCTTCAGTTATAATGTGGCAGACTTAACTATCACACCAGGAAGGAGCCAAAACATTCGTAATTGGCCTGGGAAGAATTTTTTTTAATCTTAAAATATGTTTATGCATTAATGCAAAAAAAAAAGTTCCAGAAACAATTATAGAAACATAGATTGCCACAAAACATTGTGTTTCTGAATGCTCTTGTTTACAACTGTACATTTTAAAAACAAGTACCAGCAAGAAGAAGGAGAAGAAGAAGGAGAAGGAGAAGGAGAAGAAGGGTTAAATCTTTTTCCTTCTGCAATCACTGAAGAAAGATAAGCAAGGAATGTTTAACATGTAAGCTCATATAATAGAAAAACCATAGAAGGTTTACCTTATAGACTTGTCCATAGGTCCCATTGCCAACAAGTTCAACCAGTTCAAAGATGCCTGCAGGATCCTGGGAGACACAGAAAGAAACCAAGTCAATCAGAGATCTCCAGCATTAGATATTTAAAAGTTGCTACACATAAACCTTGTTAAACCCATCTAGTCAGCATTCTGCAAGGCAGCTCTTTTGCATGCAAGGACCAAAAATAGATTTCAAACAGACAAGGGCAGGATTCATAGCATGGGTCAAATCCCTTCTCTGAAGCAGGTTTCTATTTAAAGTGGGGGAAAAGCAGAGGAATTTGAGAACATTGGCTTTAGAAACTATTTTACATAAAAGTAGTCGAAAAGAAAAGAAGGCCTACATGCAACTACACTAGTGGTAGGAATGCACTTCCAAGGCTCTGCCCTTCCTAAATGCTTAACTAAGTTAAATAATACATATACATTGCCAGTGCCTGCCCTAAAACATGCCCCTTCCCATTTTTCCATTTTATATACTAAGAAAAATATGGGGATATTAAGATGTGTTGCCCAGTTGCTGTTCACAGCCACAAGTGAGTGTTGGCTATGTTCTAGGAACACTGAATAATGGGGGCCTATTTTGTACCAAAACTGTGAGGTGCCCCAGGCAAAGCCAATGGCAAATATAACTCAGGGGTAGAATATCATCAACAGCAGAACTCTGTACAGCGTTTGCTTGGGAAAAGGCTTTGTTCATCAAAGGCTTGATAAATTTGACTGCCATGATCTAGACTGCGCCAGAAGGAATCCTGCAGGAACTCAGATAGAGCAAAACTGAAGAAAGTACCCTGAACAAAAACATCTGTAAATCATGCCTGTTTTATGTTGCCAAAACAAAAAGGGACATCTGTATAAAGTTGGGGGAAAGAGGGGAAATTTTTTTGCATTTATAGTCCTTCCGGGAACAAAAACATCCTTGCTAAAATATTATTAATTAGAGATTGTGTGGTCTTTTGATATTGGAATTCTGAAAGGATCACATTTTTTAACATAATTGAATGGTTTTTATTGTCCTCAACATGAAATCACTATATACTTATAAGGAACTCCTAGCCTACTCCAGAGGCCTGTTCACACTATAGAATTACAGCATTAATGCTATTGTTCATTTGTTCAGTCGTTCCCGACTCTTCTTGACCTCATGGACCAGCCCACGCCAGAGCTCCCTGTCGGCCGTCACCACCCCCAGCTCCTTCAGGGTCAGTCCAGTCACTTCAAGGATGCCATCCATCCATCTTGCCCTTGCTCTTCCTTTTGTCTTCCACTTTCCCCAGCATAATTGTCTTCTCTAGGCTTTGCTGTCTCCTCATGATATGGCCAAAGTACTTCAACTTTGTCTCTAGTATCCTTCCCTCCAATGAGCAGTCGGGCTTTATTTCCTGGAGGATGGACTGATTGGATCTTCTCACAGTCCAAGGCACTCTCAGAACAGCATTATTATTCCACTTTAATTGCCATGGTTCCATCCATAGAATCCTGGGGTTAGCCATTTAGATGGGACATTTACTATTCTTAGCCAGAGAGCTCTAGTGCCACACCAAACTACAGATCCAAGGAATCTACAGGCTGGAACCATGACAGTTAAAGTGAAAGAAGACCACTGTAATTATGCACACCCACCTAAGATACAAGGTAAGGGGGATGACAATGATGATTTTGATTATTTTCATAATCATTATGGTGGGGGTGGCTGCTATGGGATGAACAAAACATTATCTAGATGGCTTTGCCAATACAGCTGGCCCTCCAAATGTTTGCACATTTCATTATTTATGGGATTTATTAATATGTTTTTTTTAGGAATCTGTAGATCCTCCAATGTGATTCTGTGGAAGTCGGCCATACATCTATGCTGTAGGGCCTAGAAATGCATAGAAAATCACTCTTCTAAGCATCTGTAGGTCCTCCAACACAACTTTATTGTCAAGATGACTATAGAGTTGCACTAGAGGACGTGTAGGTTCCTAGGGGTGTTTTCTTTCAGGTAAAGTAATTAAGTGTTTTTAACTGATGGTTTTTCTGCTTTTGTGGGGTTCCTGTGCCCCACCTCCAGTGCATATGGAGGACTGACTGTACAAACCTGTGTTCCAACCACTATTTTTTTTATTATTATTTATTTATTTATTACATGCATTTCTACCCCACCCTTCTCTCCCCAAAGGGGGACTCAGGGCAGCCTCACATAAGCATCATATGATGCTGTCAACATATAAACAACAAGGGTTACAATTAAAACAGTAAAAATCATTAAAACATATTATACAACTACATTATCAAGTTCATTAAACAAATTAAGATGCCAGTTAAAACCAAGACCAAGTCAGGTAAATCTAGTGTCGCATATGTCCTAACTTTCTTTCCAACTGTCGCTATCCACTAGCCGAACGCTTGGTCCCAAAGCCAACTCTTCAATTGTCTTCTAAAGGACAGGAGGAAGGTAGCTGTCCTGATGTCCTTAGGGAGGGAATTCCACAGATCGGGGGGGGGGGGGCACTGCCAAGAAGGCCCTGTCGCTCGTCCCCACCATAACAGGAGATTCATTCGGACAGGTAATCTGGGTGAGAACCGTTCAGGGCTTTAAAGGTTAAAACCAGCAGTTTGAATTGTGTTCTGAAGCTGATCGGCAGTCAGTGGAGCTGGTGCAACAAAGGAGTAGTATGCTCCCTGTACGCTGCTCTGGTGAACAGCCTGGCTGCCGACCATTGGATTAGTTGAAGCTTCCGAGAAGAGTAGAGAGTGTTGAATTGGTCTATTCGGGAAGTAATCAGAGTGTGTACCACTGTGACCAAGTCAGACTTCCCAAGGAATGGGTGCAGCTGGCACACAACTTTTAATTGTGCCAAAACTCTCCCAGCCACTGCCGAGACCTAGGGTTCCAGGCTCAGCAATGAGTCCAGGATCACTCCCAAACTGCGAACCTGCATCTTCAGGGGGAGTGTAACCCTGTCTAACACAGGCTGTCCCCCTATCCCCTCTAACCCTATCCCCTGATATACTACCATATCATTTGCAAATCCAAGGCATTTTTTTGAAGCATTGCTTTTTGCAGCTTGTTAGTTTTAAAAAGTATTTCTCAGGAAGAGGTTGGGCTGAAACCCACCATCTGAAAAGCATTCAGGGCCTCCCAGCAGGAAAGCCACCCAGGGCAAATGAGCATGTAGAGCACAGCTGGATCCAAAAGAATCACAGAATCTCACAGTTCAACATGGCCAAAAATGTGGGATGTTTCTATAACCTGAAAGGCACTTTGTGCCAGAAGAACAGCAGGTTTCCTATTGGCAGAGGAATGGAGTAAAGAACATTTGTGTGTGTGCTTTAAAAAAAAGCTATTGATTGTAAATCTTTTTCTTATCCAATAGCATGAAACAAAGTCATTTCAAAAGACGTTTCCTTAAAAAAAAAAAGCCAAAAAAAATGTGTTTTCATTCACCATTAAATACAAGTCAGATAATAGTTTCCCATAAGCAGAAAGGCCTTTAGAAATGAAGCTAAAAATTCATTGGCTGAAAGAAGCATACAGGAGCTCTCTTTCTAAATATGGATCAGTACAGGATGCTGTTGCTAAGAGTCAGTCCACACTGTTCCTAGCGTTAAAGGTTTGGTGCACAGCAGAAATCGTGCTTTCAGGCTTAGCTGCTCCTGGAGGAAAAAACTACCAGCACATCCTGACCAGAGAGAGAAAGAACCAGCTTATGGTGACAAAGAGATTGTACTGAATTTAAGAATATATGGTAAATTCTTTCCTATTGCAAAAGAAGATTACTATTCTCAAAATTCCATATTTCCAGTTTATGCTAATTTCCATATATGATAGCCCCACAGGACACAACTACAAAACATTTGACAGGTATACATACAAAAAGCCATACCTATCTTCCACCTGCCAGCGTAAACCCTTCATCTGTCATATCTCCACCCGATGCCACCCAATCAGAAGGATAAAAGTAACCTCATCCAACTCCAACAATATTAACTCCTGAGGAACAATTAATACAATGTTGTACTGATGCTGGTGGGCTTCCCAGAGTAAACTGGTTGGCAACTGATTAGCCAATGAGTAAACAGAATATTGCACTAGATCCAGCTCCAAATGGCTCTTCTTATGATCTTAGCAGATCCCACTCCTTAAATCTTCATTATATCAGTCCTGCCAGGCCCGTAGCCAGGATTTTGATTGGGGGGGGGGGCTGAGTTTGTTGGGGGGGGGGCTGAGTCTGAGTGAAAGAGGGTCCAGCCTAGCAAACCTTTTGTATCGTTACCCCAATACCCCCATGCATATGGGATATATTGAGTATGGTGACCAGATCATGATATGAATGAACATAACAGTTTAAATAATGCACTAGTAAGGCCTTTTCACAGACCACCATGAGAATTTCGGGGGGGGGGGGGGCTGAAGCCCGGTTACATGCCTGAGTCCTGCAAATCATCTACCCACAGGATGAAGGAGTAGAAGAATTTGAATAAAAGATAACAGAGTTGTCCCCATGCTATATATGTTTGGTAGTAAGTACCCAAAAAACAACCCCAATCAGCTACAGATTTTGAAGACCAGCATTCACTTTTTACTCTGAGATTAATGCTGTCCACATCATCACCATCACCATCACCATCACCATCACCATCACCATCACCATCACCATCATCATATACTTTATTTAGATTCTGCCCTATCTCCCCAAGAGGATTCAGGGTGGATTATAGTACACATATACGGCAAATATTAAATGCCAGTTATACAATTAACAAAGACAGACAGTACATAAACAGAGGTAAAGACTTCCCATCTTTTTCCATCTCTGGCATCTGGAGGCTGTGCTCAACTCCGGGCATGGGGGGTGGTGCTGTTACTCCATCTTCTATACCGAGAAGCTTTGTTGTCTTAAGCGCTCTCCCGATCTAATTGCCAGCATGTCTGTATGGGCGCCTTTTATTACCTCTCCACCAAAGCGGTACCTATTTATCTACTCACATTACAGTTTTCGAACTGCTAGGTGAGCAGAAGCTGAGCTGACGATTGGGAGCTTACTCCAACCCAGGCTTGAA